CGGTGTTTCATCAACTAAAGAGTTGTTGGGAAGAGAAAGATCTCTCTCAACCTCACCGAGCGCTCTTTCGATCCAAAGTTCTGTTTGTTGGTCGCGATCCATGGTCAAACTGAGCACAATTTCAATTAGTTAAGGTTATATTCATAAATATTCTTTTGATAAATTTACCACGACCAATTGCAACACAGCAAGGGTAAAAAATAAAAATAAGTAAGTAAAACATCTAGATGGTAGTCTTGTATGTTAGGAGGACGCTTGAGGCCACGAGCTGGAGGACGATGTAGTGGGATGTTAGGATGAGAAAGGCGGAACAAATGAAGAATGTGTGCAATTCGGGCATCATCTAGAGCCGTTTCATTATTCTAGTCGATGGTTGCAATCATAGCAATCTGCAAGAAAAACAAAAGTAGTTTTTAGCTGTGATGTCATGTTTTGTACAGTTCCAAACCAGGAGGTAACACACTAACCGAAACTTGTTGTTCTTGCCTTCTGGAGCAATGAGAACATTGATTAAGATTTCCAAACGGAACCAAGACTGTTCTATACCATCTTTGAAAACCCTGTCTTGTGATGTTCACATATTTAGGAATATGTGTGTTGCGGCAAACTGGAATTCTAACGAGTTGAGCCAAGACTTTTTTTCGCTTGTCCCTGGTTTCAGCTACGGAAGCCCATAACATAATAATCACTTGGATTTCAACTGGAAGTAGTCTTCCAAAGGGTTTGTTGTTAGCATCCACAAGTCCGTAGAACTTCATGTTCGAAAGAAAAGACTGTTATAGTGTGTTGCGTTTTATTGAAGGAAACAGGTTTACAATGAATGTCATCTAAAACGAATCTGCAAATAAAATTGGATGCTCTGTTGTTCAATGCGCATAAACTCGGAAAAATCCTTGATTGCCTTCTAAAGGGTGAAATGCTCGTTGTGAATAAAACAAAACTAAACAGTCTTCAATAACCAATTGCAATGTAATAATTCGATTAATACAGGTACACTCCGATCGATAAAAAAACACCAGTTCGTATAGGGACAGTATGGACGACATAGAATATCCTGCAGTCACTCTAGTAAAACAGAAACATTTAATTACAATCACTTTTAATTATACGTTGATAAAGTTTATATCATAGGGATTGTCTAGAAAATAGAATTCTATTAATAATAGTAACAGAAGTTTTAACTCCTCGGGCCAATCCAAGTCTCGAAGTATGACAATGTCATTCAGCGTCGTTTTACAGTAAATAAAACATAATTAAGTCTGAGGGTCTTTCGATTACTTCATACACTTTTGAAATAAGCTTGACGGGTGATCTAAACATTTAAAAACGAAAAGAAAAAACGGTATTATTTAAAAACCGACCTTGCAGATCTAGCCATGATATAACCAAATTAGAAAACCATATTTTAGTACTCGGTTGCCAGTGAATTTCTTTAAAACATCGAATCAGTGCCGGTGTGTATCTAAATCAACAACCAAATTTATGTATAAGGATTGCCATTTAAAATCGATAAAAGTCACATTAAAAACGACCAGCGTACCGAAATTTTACTCGATGGTGTTCCCTGTATACAGCTCTCATCAATTGATATGCCCTCTCATCTATAGCCTCGTAACAACCATGGGATTTTGGTACATAGTGCAATGCTGCTGATGGATTGGGAATCGCTAACATCCCCAATTTCTCCAAAGACATCATTTTCATACTGTTGTTTTTGCTGCACTGAAGCAATTAAACTGGTGACCGTGTAATTAATTTTGTACGAGTTAACTTCGCTTACCTCAGTTTTACCTTTATAAAATCGCGGACCAGCGTCCCATTTGTAAAAAGGAAATTCAATAAAAGAGTTTGTTATTGTGAATTGTAGTATATTAATGTAAGAATGGATTCAACAGCTGGGTGACCACTTAATCCCTTAAACGAATAAAAGATTTGGTGGCTAATGCAATACTTTGCAATAGCGAAAAACGTGCTTGTAATAATTTTGTGTCCCGCGTTTAAAATTGCGTAGCTAAGCAGCTATAATTTAATTTTCTCCGCGTAATAATTGTCAAAAATAAATTTGGAGTTTGGGTGGAATGAACTCAGCGAAAAAAGGTGTGTAGCTCAGCAAATTGAAAATAGAACTTAGCGTATCAATAAAAATAAAGTCACTGACTAGCGATGATCATTTTGTTTTACCTTTACGACGGCACGCATAGATTTACCAACTGAGTATTGAAACATGACGCATTATGATCAAACCATTCAAGGTAAATAATATATTAATCAGAACTTGGTTATAACTTTTCGTAACAGGTGGTGGCTCCTAATAGAGCCGTTTGTTGGTTTGTCTGACTGTTCCTTTAATAAAACCTGTACGGTTTTCGACTGGTGATAAACTCATCGTAACATTTTGAATAAGGATATGTTGTAACTATTCGAAATTTGTCTAATAGCGATGGCTTGTAGGAGTAGAATATGGCGATTTGTTTACATTCAAATCCCCACGGGTCGCGTCCAATATTTTTTCCAATAGCAAAGACATACAGATAATACTCTCCATGCGAAGGACTCCATCCTTTCTCAATTAACTCAACGTCCAGGTGGCAAAACCAGGTTATCCTTGATAACAATCCCAACGTAGCAGTTAAATTAAAGCTTCTACGGAATTTACTTTTATGTAGAAATTGCGTTGTATCAATATGCCGTTCAGTAATAGGAGCTGCCTGTTTTATCGATAACAAAACATCTGCGGTTTCAAAGGGAAGAACTGCCATGACTGATTAGCCCTCAGACTGGTGTTTAGATGCTAGCATTTCCTTACCTGTACTGTATTTTTTTTGATAATAGTGTTATAACTGCATTTCAAATATTTCAATCTTAAAATGTAAATCATAAAAGGTAATTAAAAAATAAATAAATAAATAAAGGGAGCAGAATAAAAAATGTATGCATCCTTAACGATTCGGGCGCCAATATTTGGCGCCAAAGTTACATCTTAAAGTTTTGTAAGAAAAAAAGAACACACGCACACAAATTCACATCTTTTCAGCATCTTTATTTATTTTCAATTCAAATTCTAGTAAAATGAAGAAAAAATTCACTTGCTGAAAAAAAAACATGGGTTATCTCAAACGTACCATCACTGAAACTAACAAATACCATTTTTATCCTGTTGTGTCCTACTTAGTTTTAACAGTTCATTTATGACACTGTTGTTCAGCCTCTGAAGGTTATTTTCTCGCTCGTCATCTTCACTCACCTCATTTTGCCTTTGATATGCTGGTATTTTCCACTACTTTCCTTGAAATTGGAAGGGTACATTTGCATCGGCACTGTAGGTGTCTGGGAGAGGTAAATAAAACTGTTGCCCCCTTTTCTGATGGAAACCAATTGGGTTGTCATAAACGTAATTCTGCTGTTGGTGTGGCATTTTCTCTTCTTCTTGAAATTGAAACAGTATGTTCGCATCCATCCCCATTGTAGAGATCTGGTGGTGGTAACTGTCGTACATTTCTTCGATTAAACTCTTGTTTAATTTTTCCTGCTTCCTCTCGTAGCATGTTTTTACTGCATTCAATGCACTCATCAATCACAGAAATTTGATTTTTTAAATCTCTCCATTCTGGTACAGTGAAAGCGATACCTTTCTTGCTGGGGTATATGTCCTTATCATACTTGCTTTCGAAATATTTCCTAACATGTATTTGCACTTTACCTCTCCACGTAGTCACACTTTATTTTCGCGTCAGATGTACCAAGCTTAAACATACTTCTCACGTTAAGTTGCATATGATAAAAAACATATTAGCGAGGCTTATATAAATCTCACAAATAATAACCATCTATAAATAGGGATGATTATGAATAAAATTTAACTCCCTTAAGCGAAAACTGTATAACTATGATAACATAGACTGAAAAAAGCAACCTTTCATCGAATAAAGTTTAAAAGTTGACAAATTTGCTTCAATCAATCAAGTCAATGTAACAATTAAGGGTTTACCAGAAATGTCCAACTACCTTGGCATAGATGAGCTTACCTTAAAACAATGGGAAGAAATCTCTATAGCTCATCGTGTAACATATGTGGAAATATAGGATCATCGAGGGGGCGGATCCAAAATTGCAGGTAAACATATGAGGTTATTTGCTTCTATATTACATTCAAATAGTAGTAAATAATTTGGCTCGCAATCCTCAAAGCGGCCTTTTTCTGTTTGTTTAGATAACATCATATAAAACACCTCCTCCACCAAAGAAGTATAAAAAGATAGAATGCACGGTGTTTGGAAAAGTGTGGACGGGAAGACGCTTTGAAACGCCACATGAAACTACATGCATAAAAGAAGAATTTCATTGCAATGCTTGCACTAAAACCTTCTATCGCCGGGATATAAAAATGAAACATGAAGCTTCATGCTTCAGGTGGAGAAGAGAAAACGAACAAATGGAAAATTTCAATCGAGAAACCAGACAGGATGCGCGTTCACAACATCAAAGGACAGCGGAGAATTAGAAGGCGAATGTCAGAGTGCACTGGATGGTAACTTGAAATCAATACAAATGGCACAAAGGTAAAATGAAAAATATGATTTGTCCTTGTTTCTACAAGGAAAAAGAACAAATTTACTAAAACATCTAGAGAAAGAGGTAAAGGGAAAAAAGCGTTGGGGTATGATCGGTTGGTGACGGCTATGGGTGCTCATAAAAGCCACAAACCCACCATGATTCTGCCCTCAGATTGAGGACAGGGTAAAAATTGTACCCTGTTCATGTTCAATAATGTTCCCAGTGGAGATGCAGATAACCCTCACACCAGAAATACTAGACAGACAGGCAATGTGAGGTATGTCATTGAATTCCGTGAAGCAATCGATCACAATATCACCGTGGTGATCTGGAGCGAGTACGAAAATCTATATGAGATTGATGTCTACGGAGGGATCCTCTATTCCATTCATCGCTAAGACATGGAATTTGTGGCTCTCAGTGATACCGTGCTACGAACCCTAGCCATGGAGGATCGAGAATTACGTCGCGTGTTTCAAGGGGTGTTTCCCGCCGACCAGTTACCGCGTCATCCCTCCCACACCACTCATGCAGCTTACATCGTCAATACGGACCCTGCAGGGGAACCCGGACAGCATTGGTTAGCCCTCTGGACAGAGAAGAACGAGTGTGAAGTCTTTGACAGTTATGGATTGCCCTTGCACGTGTACACAAACCCTGACTTACACGCTTGGTGGGCTCAATGGAAATACTTGACCAGAAGTGACCAGACGATACAAGCCCTTGACAGTCAAACCTGTGGTCATTATGTTCTGATGTTTCTCAAAGCCAAAGCGCGAGGATGTACGTTTCAAGAATTTCTGTCACGATGGAATAGTTATAATCTAGTGATAAATGATAGGAGAGTGGCTCAAGATTTAAAACGTTTGATTAAAGAAGAACTTTACGATACACTTAATGGTTCACCCAGTAGGGGTCAAAGCAGTGTGAGTCGATGTGCTTTTTGTGCCATTCAGCGTGTTGAATGAATAAAAGAAACGCATGTGTGAAATTTGTGTAGTTGTATCATGCTTACGCGGGGTGAGCATCAAAGGGTGGTGGACGCATTGGCGTTGCACAAGGTGTCTGTGTATATCCAATACGGTGATCAATCCCTTGACATGTCATGCCCATGGAATGAATCGGATTGGCAACAAATTCTCATGTTTGCCAGATCCCACCGCTGGAGGCAACTGAAATGGTATTTGTTCTTGCATTGTGAACCCTTCTTAAGGGAGGTCTTGGAAAAATTGATTCAGTCAGTCTCACCCCGTCTGTATCAAGAGGTGTTTTGTCATGATCACACGAAGTGATCATCAACGAGTCTTTGAAGCGTTCGTCATGGAAGAATGTTTGTATTTCTTACAACATCCCCTCGAAATGTTTTTCCAAGTACCATGGGATGGGGTGCACTGGCATCACGTAGTCGAATTAGCTCGACAAACTCGATGGTCTGATCTGAAACAGTATATGGACACAATGGGTGTAACCTATTTAAGGGAAGAGATGGAATTGGTAATCGAGACAGTATCCCCTCGCTTGTATCGAGAATATTGGTCAGTATGCCCAAACAAAAACGTCGTCGTAGAAGGTTAAGGCGTCCTTTTCGAGGGGGTGGACTGTTAACGGTCTTGTCAAAAGCCGCCAAAATCGGATATCAACTGGGTAAAAGCAAACGGTACAAACGCATGGGTGCGAAAGGGGTCACGGGTCATTACAGGCGACTTCGCGCACCTTGGGAGGTTTGAGAAACAAGGTATAAAAGACAACAAACACACTTGACAGAAGAGATGATTCGTCAACCAGCCACCGCAATTGTGGCCGGACCTTCGGGCAGTGGAAAAAGTGACTTAGTGGAACAATTGTTACGAGAGAAGAAACTCTTTTCACCCCCTCCCAAAAAGATGGTGTATTGTTATGATCGTTGGCAACCAAGGTTTGAGAGAATGCAACAGCAGGACAAGATTCGTTTTCATCGTGGAGTACCGGAGGAAGGTGCATTGATCAAATGGTTTAAACCTCAAGACCATGGGATATTGGTGTTGGATGATTTAATGGAGGAAGGTGGAAGTGATAAACGCGTGTTGGATTTATTTACAAAAGATTCTCATCATCGGGGAGTAACCGTGTTGTATCTTTCCCAAGATTTATTTCCACCGGGTAAATTTTCCAAAACCATTAATCGAAATGCTCATTACTTGGTGGCCTTCAAGAACCCCCGTGATCAAACCGGCATTCGTACAGTGTTATTACAAGCCTTTCCAGAACGATGGCGCACCGTCTTAAGTCTCTTTCGACGATTGACTACACGTCCCTTTGGCTATTTATTGTTGGATCTCCATCCTGCCTCGGATGATCGCTACAGATTGTGAAGTCATTTGACCAAACGAGAAGGGCGACCACAGATGCATACTTTTAGAGAGGACAAATTATTGACGAGAGTAGGAAAACCCTATAAATAAACGCGTACACCTACCTTGAATCATTGCGTTCATCATGGGCAGAAGAACCAAAGGCAAACGTAAACAAAGAGGGATTAGACGCCGTCGTCCACCTGGTGTGGGGTTTCAAAAAGGTGGTATTGTTCCCTTACTCGCCCTTGCTTTACCAGCTCTAGCCGCAGCAGGGAAAGCAGCTGCTCTCAGGAGTTTAGGGGGGTGCTGCCAGTTATGGTGTCAAGAAAGGATTGGAAGCAGCCACTCGTAGACGCCGCCGGTAACTATAAAGACCGTATCATGACACGAAAAGATGACAGAGAGGATGGAGGGACGTATGAGTCGACAAGCTCCGTTTTTAAAAAAGTGTACTCAACGAAGCCAATGCTCACAAACGTCAACAGCGATTACGGTATGCGAATATTGATCAAATCAATGCAGTGAGTGAATTAGTCCTGAATACTTTACGTGGTGTTGTACCTCAAGGAAAGTTCACCTTGAAGAGAATGAGACCTCATGCATCCGCGTTACGATTCATTGCCAATCCTAGAAATTCGGCGAAACGTCGACGACACACCATGATTCATCAATTAGGAGCCGGCAATCTAGTATGGAAAGAATTACATCGATGCTATGAGTGTAGCCAGCGCCTATATAAATAGCGTGTGTTTTCTAACCGACATGCTAAACCAAGATGAGACCGCAACTCGTGGACATGTTGGTTCGCTTACTGCAAACGTTACGGGCTATTCTAGTGACGCTTAAAGAACTGAGAGAGATAATGAAACAAAAAGTGACCTGGGCTAAACTCAAAGAGCTAGTAACACGGTTTTTCCGACGAGTATAAAGCAGACCACACCTACCTAGAGGTCAATCAGTCAAGATGGTTGAGGACATGAAAAGTATCGCCGTGCAAGACTCAGTTGCGTTTTTACGATTACGAGACCATTACAAAAATGACTTGTTGGAAGACAGTCGTTTAAACAAAGCAGCGGAACTTGCAGCCACACATCATCTCTTGTTAACGAGTCCATCCTCAGATGCGTGGAAACGACCTCAGTTAAAAGCTGTCGGCAGAGAACTAAGACAGTGGACTAAACGCGTTCGTCAACCAGGTGGAAGTCGTGTGGGAGCGGGTGGAGGAGATGTTGAGGAAGAGGATGAGGATGAAATGAATCTAGCCGCAGGACCTATGCACACCTTGTTGACTAAATTATTACCATCCCGAAAACGTATAAAACAGACCCCCTCATCTCCCTATCCAGTTGTTACTACAACAGCAGGCGTGAAAAGGAAAGCGTCTTCAAGTGGTCCAACGAAACGCACGTCTAATTTATCCAAGTCCTCTACTCCTAAAGGACCAGGGGCACCGAAAAAGAAACGAGTCTCCTTAGCCGTCACGCCCAAAGGAAAAAAACACCTAACAAGAAGCGACCGTATTTTACACCACCGAAATCCACCCCAGAACTAATAGGTGGAGAAGAATTAGCTGAAGAACTTCCTATCTCAGGGGCTTTGGGTGAGCAACCGTGGAGTACACCCAAGGAAATTGCCCGCAACGTGTTTAAATCGTTCCGTCGTAAATCCAGAAAAGCTGACGTACAGAAATTGAAACCAGCCGCAGGTTGGAAACCATTTGGAACCCCCCTACAACGACAACTTTATGGCAAGGACTACTCGTAAACGCAAGACCTCTAGTAAAAGGCGACGTCGTCAATGGGGAGGAAAGTTGGATGTTCAGAAATTGTTGAGCAAGACTGGGATCGAGTTCCACATCACATCATATCAGTACGCAGGGCCTGGGACCCAGTTGACCAAACGTTTAGCAAGAGGGGATCCTGGGATAAATCGATTAGACAAAATTGCTAAACAGCACGATATCGCTTACAGTAAAGCCAAGAATTTGCAAGATAAATGGAAAGCTGATGACGTCATGATCCGTGCCATTGATCGATTGCCAGGCAAGAAAAAATTGACTGAAAAAATGGTGAAAAAAATCATGGAAGCCAAGAGACGTGTTAAGTTATAATGTGTTTTTTGATAAAATGAATAAAAAGTGTGTTGTGTGTTTTAAACAAGAGTGTCCTTATTAATTGTATACCCTCACTCAATAATACACACCATGTTTTTTTAAAACAACTGTCAAGTATTTAATTAAGGGAACTGCGTCGCCATGCAACCTCTTCCCTTCATTCACTGCCATGTCCTATTTACAATGGGGACGTGTGAGGTCTCCTAGTGAGAACTCGCCCTTTCAAAACTATTGGCATTGTTATAACGAAAGCAAAAGATCGACTTCATGATGAATGCGCGAATAACCAAAGGGATAGGACCGTTTGGTGGGGAGGTCAATGACCCTTTTATCAAACACTAAACCGTATTTTTTAACGCGTTCCGTCAACCTAATACGTTTGTTGGGTACATCCCGTTGAAAAAAATATGGATCTTTGACTAAGATGGTTCTTCTTTCATCCTGGGGGTCATCTAATTCGGCAAGGGTGTTGGCTTTCATGGTGTGATAATTCAGCACGGCAGTCCCACGCACATTGAGGGTAAACCCGCGCACTTTACACTCCACCCTTCCACCACGCGTGATATACCAATAATTTTTTGCTCCGCCCGAGACAAACTCCTGGATCACATCTCCCTCTAACTCGTCCGTCATACATCCAAGGTAGTCATCCACTGGTACGGAGGGTCTCCCAGGCTCCCAAAGATATATGACACTGTCCGTATCATAATACAACACTTGCTCTTGAAGAAGATCTAAGGACTCATACAGGGTTAAACGCGCGTGACAGGTCTTGAAGGCTGCTATAAAGATGTTCGTTTTGCTACCTTTGTTGACATTCTCCTCGATGGAGGTGGTGACGGCCTCCATGACTTCATCCGTGCAGATTCGTAATGTATTTACATTCAAGGTAGAATTGGTGAGGAGACTGAACAACTGGGAGTGTTGCTGAATGGTTGTGGTTCGTGGCTTATTCATCCTTTCTCCAAATTTGCCCCAAAAGCTGCAAAGAAAAACGACAGAATCAGTCTCTCCCCCTTTTATGCCCCTCCCCTACAACCACCCTTACGCACCTATTAAGCATTAGTTTGGCTGTGGCTTTTCGTCCTGGATTCTTTTTCACGTTCCTATACTCCAGCTGAATGCCCTCTCTTGCCCGATAATTGGATAGATACTGCTGTTTCTCTTCTTCTGTTCTACACCAACCGGGCCAGCCTGCTGACTCTTGCTTGAGTTTTAACCATGTATTCACATACCCTTCAAAGAGACCCGTATCCTGTTGCTCGGCTGGAAAGTGCCACACCTCGTGGATTTTGTGAAGAATGTACCCTTTTTTCACGGCTTTCTGAAGTTCCGGCGTGCACCACGTGCCTCTGAGCATACGTTGTTGATCGGAATGGGGACAGACATGTCTTCTGTCGAGCATGGGCTTACTTTGTTCTTCTTGGACACAGGTGGCACACAGGGGAAAGGTCAGTTTACCACCTCTTCTGACAGGCAGGACGGGATGAAATAGGTTGGCAGGGGGAAGGATATCGACCAAGGCGATTCCAAAATACGAATAAATGTTTTGATCAGCTGGCTGAGTGATGATGTGAGGATGTCCAGTAGGGTAACATTTCGTCTTGTTTACGAAGGGATAAAGGCTCGTGACATCAATATATCTTATTTCTTGGTTGTCCTCGGCCCTAACGTGTAAGGCCACAGCCCCGGTCCGTCCACCAAAAAATGCTTCTCTGGGGTTCAAGGGTGGGACTAGCTCAAAACGAGCACGCGGTCCCATCCCTAGTACTCAGTCCCTTACTATTATAAGACTAGGTGTGGTAGGAGCACGCGGTTCTATCCCTAGTACTCAGTCCCTTACTATTATAAGACTAGGTGTGGTAGGAGCACGCGGTCCCATCCCTAGTACTCAGTCCCTTACTATTATAAGACTAGGTGTGGTAGGAGCACGCGGTCCCATCCCTAGTACTCAGTCCCTTACTATTATAAGACTAGGTGTGGTAGGAGCACGCGGTTCTATCCCTAGTACTCAGTCCCTTACTATTATAAGACTAGGTGTGGTAGAAGCACGTGGTTCTATCCCTAGTACTCAGTCCCTTACTATTATAAGACTACGTGTGGTAGGAGCACGTGGTTCTATGCCTAGTACTCAGTCCCCTTACTATTATAAGACTACGTGTGGTAGGAGCACGCGGTTCTATCCCTAGTACTCAGTCCCCTTACTATTATAAGACTAGGTGTGGTAGAAGCACGTGGTTCTATCCCTAGTACTCAGTCCCTTACTATTATAAGACTAGGTGTGGTAGGAGCACGCGGTCCCATCCCTAGTACTCAGTCCCTTACTATTATAAGACTAGGTGTGGTAGGAGCACGTGGTTCTATGCCTATTACTCAGTCCCCTTACTATTATAAGACTACGTGTGGTAGGAGCACGCGGTTCTATCCCTAGTACTCAGTCCCCTTACTATTATAAGACTAGGTGTGGTAGAAGCACGTGGTTCTATCCCTAGTACTCAGTCCCTTACTATTATAAGACTAGGTGTGGTAGGAGCACGCGGTCCCATCCCTAGTACTCAGTCCCTTACTATTATAAGACTAGGTGTGGTAGGAGCACGTGGTTCTATGCCTAGTACTCAGTCCCCTTACTATTATAAGACCCCAAAAGAATTGTATGCTCTTACGTTTGATTCCATCTTGTGGGTCTCCTTTCCAAGTTCGCTGCTAAGCATGGATTAACGATGAAGGGACTAGTGGACTATTTTATATGAAAAAGTCTTGACGTCACTAGGGTGATCTACGTTTATTTTACGTCATTACCGCGTGAAATCGTGTTGTTGTTGACGTCAATTCTACGTCAATGTCATTCCCCTCGATCAATAAATAATCAACATTATCACTCAATTCATTTTATTAATAAACCTTTTACAATTGGGATATTTGAAAAGTCAGATAACTTTTCACCCTTTTGTCTTGCTGTACAACAATTATACTTTACATCACCGATATAAAAAGGCAACAAAAACTGACCGTGAAAAAAGACTTGCAACTTTTTGAAAATAGGAAAACGAAAGGATGCTTCCATGCTAATTTCTTTCAGGAAAATTATATTTACACGAAATCATTTTATTAAAAAACCTTTTACAATTGGGATATTTGAAAAGTCAGATATCTTTTCACCCACTTGTCTTGCTGTACAACATTTATTCTTTGCATTACTCATATAAAAAGACAACAACATCTGACCGTGAAAAAAGACTTGAATAAATAGAAAAACGAAAGGACGCAAATCTCTTTCAGAAAAAATATTTACATTAAAACTAAAGTAAAAAAATTATTTACAATTATGAAAAAAGACACACTATATTTACACACGGAGCTACGCTTACCAAAGTGTATCATACACTCCATTCATTTCCGCTTCTAATTCGAAGCGCAACTCATTTGAAAAATAGGCCCCATTTCTAAAACAAACTAATTGGTCAATCAGCATTTTATCGCAAAAAAGGCGCGAACAGTGTGCACAACGACTTATATCTGGTGACACCCATGACGTGAATAGGCAGAGCGGCAGGATTTTTCATGACTGAAGCGAAGATCTGCAATGAGATGATCAACGAATTATATTAATCCAGGTTCTTTCACTCCGTGATTGACTATACAGTTTTAGAAATCGACGTTTTGCGTTAAAGTATTGTTCCATGTTTAAGTTGTCCTTATGTCTAAAATACCTATAATGTTCCATAATATTTTTATCAATAAATAACAATTTATCATTGAAGAGATCGTCAATTAAAAGTGTCCTATGACAGTGCGAACACAAACTATTATACGTCGATATCCATTGCGTAAACAGGCATGGTTTACGAGACACAATCACCTTTAATGTGTTACTAAAACAGAAAAACAAAATCATTCATCAAAAAGCGATATCATGGTTTCGCTATATAATTTTCTAATTTGCACTATTTCATTATCAAAAAACTCGCGCGACGAAATATTACGATTACAAATTGTTCCTTCGATTGTTAATTGAAAAAAGCCTAGTCGAACACAATGTCTACAGAAATAATCTTTATCGTTTCTGACCCACAAAGTGGTATAACAAAATTTCAAGCACAATAACTCGTCGAGCGTAGATCTATAAAATTAAAAAACAATTATCGTAAAACATAAACACCTTTAGCAGAGACAATTTTTAGATCGATCGTTTGTCGTTCTTCCAGAATTCTGCAACAATGCTGGCAAATAAATCCTCCAAAAGCTAAACTTTGTCCGTATAAATAACACCATTCGGAGCAAGCACAGGTATACAAACAAATAAGTTGTGACATTACTTGCCTAAATTTCCGCTTGTGCTCTTCTTTACACAGATCACGCGCTAGCGGGTGCTTTTGGTGAAGCTTCTTTGCTTCCTCCATTGGATTGGCGATGGCTTTCAGTGCGATGGCTTGAAGCGACTGCATAGCAAAATCAGTAGAAGAAAAGGACAGACCGCAAAAATTTGCGAACAGCAAAGCGATTGTAGTACTACGTACTGTAAAAGGTTTTGCTAAACAGTCTTTCTTATAAGAGCGATAAACAATGACTTGCTTACGCGCAGAAAAGTTCGGTCCGTAGGGACGTTGCTATCTCTTAATTACAATTTTGCCGACATCGTTATTTTGCAGTCACCAACGCTAATTATCTTTTTTCCACACAATACGTTGCGAAAAACGAATTAAGAATTAAGACTTACTGTTAATTGCATTTTTATACATAATACCTCGTACTTTCTTAAGTTAAAATCTTCAGAGGGTCAGTCTGCGAAAGAATGTTTTTTGAAAAACTAACGTTAAGCAAGCGTTTTCGTATAATTAATTGACAAAACAAGAAGCGTGTGTCCAAGTGCTAGTTCGTTTTGCAGTAACAATTGTAAGCCTACACTAAATATTGTTTTTTCCACACAATACCTCGAGCAGTCTCTAAACGATGTACACTTTTATTATAAAGTCATATTCTAATACACTGATCTTTCA